CCAAATCGCAGTTAGCTCACGTTATATTAGTTTATAAAATGCAACAAACAAAATTATATCGACTAACATTGAATTGTAGCCGTGAGAACTGAAAGGTGTAAACTGTAATAGATTGGTATTGTATTTTCCACATGGTGTATTTATTATAAAGTATATTCCACAAACACATATTTATAAAAAAAAAGGAATTAATTTTGTTAAATTTATTATTTTTTACTGCATTTACGACTACCGGTTTATGACTCTTTTCTATTAACATTGCTGTACTCGGGTGAAAACATATTTAAATTAGTGATTTGTGTGAATGTATATGTTTGATGGGGATGCTAACACGGTCTGTTGATCTTTGACCGGATGTTTTACTTTGGACATTAGTATAGGATTTCCGGAGCATGCGCAAACCCTTTCAATGGACGTTTTTTTTGTATTCATATTTTTTTTTTCATTTTTATTATAATGCAACAAGTATTAACGTAGGCCCTACAACTACTATTACTATACAGCTACAATATACTGTATATTATAATATACTATGCTAAAGCAGTGCACTACTATGCTACATCAATTCATGAGGACGAGCTGTACAAATCTGATGTATATGACTGTGTTATTATCAATGGCACGGTAGTTCAGTTAATTTTTCTTTAGACACAAAATACCGCCTTCGAGTTCAAGTACTGTGACAACTCAAGTGTTCCTGACTGATTTTGGAGTAACAGTTGACGAAAAAATAGGAAGCTTGATGAAAATCTATAGTAAACATGATAATTATGTTTTTGTTTTAAAAACCAAAATATAATGTCCATTCCACGTAAATATAGTATTATACTTAATTTTTTAATTATTTACTAGAAAATCACATTCATTTTTTTCTCTGTTATTTTTTAAGTTATTATAAAGTTTTTAGTGTTCATGTGTATATTATTCTTGTTGAATATTTTTCTGTAGTGTTTGATTTTTCAATTTTATTATAATATTTATTTGAATATTTGTAAAGATCTTGAAAGAGGACAAAATTGTCTGGGTTTTTGACTATTTGAAAGTAGTTTAAATAACTTAAAAAGTGATTATCCAAATCTGGTTATCGACCAGTCAAAATTTTCAGCAAATTATTTTTAACAAAATCACTATCTTGAATTTTTTTTAAAAAATGTAGGAAACAAAAAATATAAAAAAATAATTTGAAAAAGTAAAATAGTTAAGTGTAATAAAAACCATGGTGCTATAGCGCAAATGAGTATAAATTATTTAAAAAGAAAAAGTCTTAAGCATATTCACTTGAACAAAAGTTATTTCATTTGTCAAATCATTGTGGACCACTGTATATGTTACCATTATTATAAAAGTTGATAGAGCTCTGGAAGAAAGTAAAAAAGAAAATGTTTCCTATTTTTATTATATTATAACAATAACATAAGTAAAAATAATTTTCAAAAATAAAAACTATAAAATTATAACTATTTTCCGGGAAAATTAGTGTTCTATCGGTAGTCATCCTGTATTTATTTAAAAGAGTATTTTATTTAGTATAATTAATGTAACTATAAAATTTAAACTTTAACTGATAACAGTCTTTTAAATGACACTATACCACAAAAATTGACTTTTTTGTTGGAACATAAACAAAAGTTCTATTGTTTTTTTTTAAATTCTTTTTGCTAAATCCGAATCTTACGGAACTATAACCAGACATTAAAATTTACTTTAAGGATTAAAATAACTAAAATTATTTGGTTCTGGTTAAAATACAGTTAAGTTGCCAACTTTAAAATATACATTAAAAAAAAATAATTTCAAAGGTGTACTTAAAGTTCAAAGTTGCATGATAGATTTTCAAACAAAGCTTCTGTAAAATTATATAAATTGCACTTACGGTACATGCGGTGCACTATGCTATCGATATTATGAAAAGGTAAATAACACAATAATTTAATAAACGAGGACTCGTGGTAGGAGTACAGATTGATGACTGGTATTAATTTTTTTTTAGTTATGATTTCTGATGGCAACATAACCTGAAGCAAGGCCGCACATGCAGATAATATGACTACGACTACCCCAAGTATGCCGAATATCTATACTTAGTACTTCCTACTTATGTTAGTCATGATAACCATTAAATATATTTGAGGCACAAAACAGCTTAACCCTCACAAAACGAAATTTCGTTTTATTGCACTAACAAATTTTAAATAATAATCCTAATATATCCTAAATAATAATATAATAATCCGAAACCAAGGTGACCTAACCCAAAATAAATTGATCCACTTAATAACAGAACTTATTTTTTTTGGCACTGTCATTTAATAAATTATAATTGGATTTTTTTTAAGATAGTGGATTGGTGAGTAAACCTGTTCTGGCGATATGCGCCTCAATTTACTGTATATCAAAGTCAATGGTCGTTTTTACTCAACGGTCGATTAGGTCCGTTTCTAATTCGTTGGCGGACAACACCTGCGGTGACTGAATGACCCGCATGGGTCCACAGAGAATATGAAAATATGTTTAAACTCGAAGGGGTTGTAATAAAACAAAAAAAAAAGGTACGATGTCCTTCGGGGGTTAATGAGAATTGAATCGCATACGGTACAGTGGACGATTGAGTGCGGTTTATATAAGTATCCGTCGGCGTTAGCGTGGAAAACACAATATCTTGTAGCCAAGCACGTTCCGACCGGTTTTTGTTTTTTTTTCTTCTAACGCCGTTCTCGTTTTCTGTGTGATCAGTAGGCGCCGACAGGTGGAAATTACACGTTTCGATGAACCAGCACAGTACCACTTGTTGGCTGTTGCTACCTATAAAACGGAAAGGTGTGCGGTAGCCACAGTGATTTACCCGAAGAAGAGAAAAAACGCAGCGTGCGCGCGCCAGAAACCACTTGTAATCCAATCTGTCTGGTACACAGCTTCGGATAAATACAATATGTGTGTGTATGTGTTTGCCGGTGAGTTTGTGGTCATCCGACCGGAAAATAAAAATCCACACGTCAAATCACGATTGATAATATTATACAGTTATAGGTACATAAGTATAATAGGTAGTACTTTTGGGTATTATACTTTTACTATTATGCTTTTATTTTTGATATTTATTCGAATTTACCGGAAGATTATTTTTTCAAATTACTTTTTCTTATCATAGTATCATTTATTAGCAGTCACAGAAATATATATAATATAGAGTTTGTTCAAAGTTAAAGGTAACACCTAATTTTCTATTATGTTATACTACAATTATGAAAAATATATAATATGTGAAATGATTTAAATTTTTATCAAACAATAATAATTTAAAGTTTTTTTATTTTTTATCAGCCAGAAGCTAGATTTAGGGGGAACTTTTAAAACTTAAACGGTAATGTACGAGTATACATTCAATAAGTTATTTTAGGTTCAAAATAATATGCTAAAAGTGACGACTGGTCGATAACCAGTTTTGAGTCAGTACTTTTATTTATTAGTTATTAGAGTTAAAAATTTAGTACCGGAGAAATGCTGGAGTGATGTATTATTTTTATCTGCACGCATTAGTCAACGGCACTGGGAAAAAGTAATTTGAAAAAATTAATCTTTCGGTAAATTCTAAACTTGTTGACTAAAAATATGTTTTTGATTATTAGATTTAAACAACAAATATTGTGCTTGTAATATTATGTTAAATTTTTAGAAATTAGATGAGCCATGTCGTCCTATAACTTCTACAATTTTACAATACAATTTTATTGATTTTCAACGCATAGTATTATTTTGGTAACACATTGTTTTAATAGTATAAGCATAATTTATTTAACTGCTATTACGAAAAAACTGGTATTATTTTAACACTTACAATCGTTTCCATATAAAATGACGTACATATTCTACCAAAATAATCTTAAATATCAAAGTAATGTGCCACATAATTGATAATACGCTAACAGACCTATAGTTTCTGAATAACATTCTATTATGATCAATTTATAAAATAATTTATTCTTGAATATAATTAGAGTCGATAAAGATTAACGAGTTATCTTCTCACCATTAAGTATAGGTATTAATCTATAACTTAACCTTAAATAAATATGATCCTTATATATTATTACTCTATTCAATTTTCTAGAGCAAGATAGAAACAAGGATAAAACTCTGTTCGGTAATCAGAATCTATTTAATTGTTTAATTTCCTAAGAAATTCATTCACGAGTATGGTTGTTGGACGAATGGCATATATAATAATAGGTGGTGCCATCATTCACCAATTGCCCAGTTGTCGACTAGATCATGATGGTTTTAGCTTTTTTTCTATATATTTCACGTAATATTTTTAATTTAAAAAAAAAATTGTCACACGACCTTTATAATTTCGGAAAGCGCAGTAAGTAAATTAAAATTAATTAACTTGCTGTATTGGTACCATTTATTTATTTTCCTTTTAAATACCAAATTAGTTACCTAGTATATCTTAAAACGTACCCTTTTTTTGTTTTATATTTAAACTATCCTAACCGTTGTCGAATATTACTAACACCGAATGTATAATTTTGTAAGTACATGTATTATAATGTGATAAGCCTTAATTTGAGTTACTGTTGAAATGGTGGCTACGCCCAATACCTATTCATATTATTATACTTATTTCAAATAACCACAAGATTGATTTCCGGTCATAACGATGTTTTGTTTTACTGAGACTCGGTCACAGAGAGAAATTTAAATTGTCGGTTTGTACTATGAACAATTAAATCTTGGTTTATCGTCCATTTACTGGATGTGAATTAGAAAACATAAGAATATAATTGTAAAGTTCAAAGTACTTTTCTTGAATAATTTATCATTAGTATAAGCAGAGTTGAGCAAAACAAACTTTATGAACAATAACGTATAAAGTTTATAAATAATAGCTACATCTAAACCTATAAATGCTATTTATGTAAATTATTTATATATATTACATACTATTCCCTTAATATTACCAGCGACACTACGCCACTGGTTTTATCAAATTCAACGGAAGTCGGAAATTGTATTTATTTTAAAATTTAAGTTATAGATGACATGCTTATTAAATTTATTTGTTGGTTAATCTTGAGAGCTACTTAGTTACTATTAAGAAATTAAGATATTTTCAAAACTTGTTTATATTTTGCGCTTATTGCAAATTTGTATGAGTGGCATGTTCAATAATGGCCAATTGAATTTGTACACAAACAACTACATATGTAGCAACTGCTGCAAGAATCTGAAATATATATTATACATTTTATATTAATTGTATCGTGCTTAGCATGAGTGTTTTGTAACAGCATTTTTGCATCAAAGTTACGAACTTGTTATCTGATTTAAATTTTTCTTCAAGCAATTAGCTCAATTATTATAAAATCAAAAATAGAAAAATTCATTTTTAAAAAGTGCTAGTGTTAAAAGCAATAATACAAATTACTGTAAAATGATGTATTCATTTTAATAGAGTGTGGATGCATATATACGAGTTAAACGATAATTGTATAGAAACTTTATAGCTCGTATAGAGCGATAAGTAATAACTGTACAAAATAAACAAGATCACAAAATTCAAAACACTGTTTGAACTTAAATAATAACAATGGAAACTTAAATGTATAACACTTACGGAATGAATAAGTTGATAATCCATGTCGAATAACCCGTGCACATCAAATACAATTGGTTGGTTCCAGCAGTTAAGTATCATTATGTCCAGCTAAAAAAAATGAACACTTTTTTGAAAAAAGCAGTTAAAACGAACATTAAATAATATTATGTTTGCATACTTCTTTTGAAATTACTATGTTAGTTGACTTCATTACTGCATTGTGAACAGTAAAAACTGTCTGTTTAGTCTGTGAAAAATCAAATACTCCGACATACATTTTTAACATAATTAGGGTACTACAGTTAAATATAAGCCCATATTTTGAAAATATTTGTTTTAATTCAATAGAGTAGATATTTAATACAGTAGGTAAATTAGTAGGACTTTGATCATTTGTTTGTAGGGTTTTCTTTTAATATTATTATTTAAGATATTAACACTACATCATTACTTTATAACTAATAAGAAAATTATAAAACTCATTTTTTTTTTAAACGTTTAATTTAAATGAAAATACTTGATTAAGATATTTTGATTTTAGTCGGCGAACTACTTACTATTATCGCAGTTTCGTGAGTTTCTTTGACGACAGATATTAAAAATATCAGCCGAAACAAACAATAGGTGACTATTATGAAGTGAAATTGAATGGGAATTTTGTTCGAGTAGACGATATGAAATGAAACTGTCGTCACATTGGATATTAATATTGCAACGGTTTCTACGACTAAAAAAAATATTTGAGTAGCATAATAGGACTTCACCTCCTTTGCCAAGCATCGCAGTTTGTTAAACAAGCGGTCAGCTTCTCTCGGATAAATACATTTGGTATTCATTTCGGTATTATCCATATCTACGGAAGAACATTTATTTGATACATTATCATTTAACAATAAATTGTTTTAAAATGAAACGATAAAAATTAATTAAACATTAGTATATTGTATTTTTATCAACTAAATTAACATCTTACAAGCTAAAAAGCTAATAAGACTAGAGCTAATAAGCTAAAGACTTCACTTACAATTTTTAAGCATGCTGTTGACCATTTCATAGCGTTCCCTCATCATTCTCACGAATATGACGTAATAAACTGCGACCAACATTGTCAAAGAGCAATGTAGCGGCCAAAAAATATGACTGCCACTATTTTTTAAGATATATAAATACTGAAAAATGCCCATAAAAGCAATATACATGATGTAATAAATTTGAATTCGTCGGTTATGTGACAAATATGTTTCCTGGGAAAACTGGTCGAACTTTTTGAATTTATCTAGAAGTTCAAAAAAAGACCAACTCCTGTACGCCGAAACCAATAAAGTCACGGTTCCAGTAAAACTTTTTACACATATTTCGAAATATACTAACTGTAAAATAAAATAATTGAACAAATAAATCATATTTTAAAAAAATGGAGACTAACAACTAACCTTCATCCATAACTTTAATTCTATCGAGTTAGTTTGACTTTTTTCGTATACGACTGAGTTTATTCGAAAATTGTGAAACATCAATATTGTCCATACCACGGCCGAGTACGCAAAAGACAAATATTTTTGGTTGCCCGAAAAAGGTAATAACCCAAATGCTTTGCACGTATAGTACAAAATGTTCTGATTAAGCCACGTCATGACTGCGTTATTCTTGTAGAAAAATAAATATTCAACTGCCGATAAAAAATCCAAATTGTTTTTTGCATATGTGAAACCGTCAAAAGATTGAAGTGCTCTTCGACTCAAGTGGTCCTATTGTCTGTGAAAACAATATAATAAAAGTGTTTGATATAACGAGAACAATTCAATTTTGTTCGTTCTCGGCGACCATTTTTTCTTCAAGGAGTAATCGATTAAATTACATTTCCGATTTGGGTCAAGACTCAAGCCCGCGGCAGACGGTGTTTTTTACATCATTATCATATTGAATTTATTACATTTTTCTATATATAGTAATTGACTGACGTCCGTCTTGGATATAAGGGCGCAGTGATTTTTAGACAGAACGCTAGTTTTATTGAAATTAAAAACCACTCTAAGTTTTTATAAAAATAATATTAATTACTTATAATAAGTATCAAATATCACTCGTAAATATTTTTTTTTTGTTATTGATATTTGTTTTTATTGATTTATTTTAGCTTTATATCGTTTTATATTTGATCGTTTTAGATAAATATAATAAGTGGTTCTACTTGTTTTTTTAGTACAAATACAAAAAAAGTCAATTTGAATATGATGCGACAAAAACCTATTTAATCTATATATATATAAAATGAATGTCTGTTTGTATATGTGTCTGACCTTTATGTATTACTACACTATTCATCCGATAGCCATGAAACTTTGGGAAGTTGTTGTGTACACTCTCGCGAAGATAACTGACATAGTACTTTTCGAAAATTGCACCCCTAAGGGTGGCCTTAAACACGAATTTTGTACTTTAAATACGAAATGTTTTTCGTTGCCAACCTAAAATAAACACTTGGTTTGTAACCATGGTAACCACGGTACTCGAGCGAATGGTAGGTGATTAAAGAAACAGGCCGATTCTATGTACCACGATTCTGGGGACGCTTTTCACGATTGGGACAGGATCTGGGACTGAGACTGGGACTTTTGACTAAGAGGAGGACATAATAACCGAAAAAGTGTCACAAAAACGCTGCCGCGCTGTTATCTGATAAGAGATAAGAGATTAGAGATAAGGGATGGGGTGGGGATGGGAGAATGGGAATTATTTTACTCAGCCCTGGCAAACTAAATACCAGGCAACGCCGGGCTCGGACAGCTTGTAAGATAATATTTACAACATCATCACTTATACACAAATACGTGCTTTAAAAAAAAAATCGATACGATCCCCTTATAAAATTATTTATACTTTATTTTACTTAACAGTACTGTTTGTTTGTGAAGCATTTTCCAAAGTTTTTAGTTGAATTTCTACTTACACAACTGTACAAGTAGTCACTGCTGAATATGAATTGGTAACGTTAAATAAAAATGAAGTTGCAATTGATATGAATACCGCAGCAGTTTCAACTATTAGTAAATATACATTAGCGACGCGGTGTAATGCGTTTTAACATTATCGTTAAAATCTCGCAATTAAATAAACAAACAATCTACTTCACTTGGGTACATGTATTTGATACTAGACCTGGTGTTATTCATGCCTACAACAAAAATTATTTTTTATTGAAATACAAAATTAATAAATTATTAATTCTGGCGTGTACTAATGTACTGCTGAGTACAGAATATGCGATTCACAAAAAAAAACACATTTCTCATGGCTCGCAATAGTGCAACAAGGTTCACGTTCACGCGATGATAACTTTAAAACAATTAATAATTTCATGATTATTTTGTTGATATCAACATTATGTAATTTATTTATAAAGTAATCAATTACGCTCAACACTGTTACCTACTCGGTGCTGAACACAGAATACAACAAGTTTTGGTATAAGGACAGACGTATACAAATTGGTCTAAAATTTAAACCATAAACGGGACCACCAAAGTTAAAGTATATCTACATTTTATTTTTACTTGCTACTTTTAAATAAAACGTTGGCCATATCATATCTTTCTCTCAGCATTCTCATGAATATGGCATACTGGACAGAGGCTAGCATTGTCATACAGCACACTATTGACCAATAATAATGTCTCACTTGAGCTTTCTACAAACACGTATATTTATTGGTATCATACAATAAAGGCGATATGCAAAATATAATATTTATATAACATGTGTTCAGCCCTTTTTGTTTCCGATGAATTTGGAAACAATAACTGGTCAAATTCACTACATTTTTTCTATTAGTCCAAAATAATTCGAGCTGTTGTACGCTGATATCATTAAAGTTAATAATAACGACACACTTACTTCAATGTAATGAAATAAACGCATACTTTAAATGTGTCATTGCCTGACATTATAATATTGTTCCATAATGTATACTCCCAAGGGTTAGTATAGCTTAATTGTTGTACTTACAAAATTATAAAAATAAAGTTAACCAGCACGATCGACCATAATATTACAGCTCAATACGCTAAAACAAGTATTTCCTGTGACAAGCAAATTGAAAAAAAAATGCAAAGATTTTTCAGGCTAAAGATTTTGTAGCACAAAATAATCTGGTTAGCCCACGTCATGTCTACGATAATCCCGTTGATAGTCTCACAGTTATCATTTTTATCTTCGCAGCTAGTAATACATATTTATGGATATTTTCATAACTTCAAAACTTGCAAGTACTTCTTGGATACTCCACTTCTGATAACATATTGTCGTCGGACGGTTTTTTGTTCGGGACCACTGAATTGTAACTTGTTATATACTTAAAGGGCTTGGAGGTCATTTAATCATTTTTGTATAGCGTGTTATGACCGTAGCTCTCGACAACCTTTTGTCGGGAAGTAATCGATCTCAATTATCGGTAAAATGGGTTACCCGACATGGGTTACACCTGTTGGCGGCACTTCATCACTACTACAATTGTTTTGTTTTAGTACATTGTGCGTAACCCTTTTGGTATTGATTTTAACACAATAAAAAATCTTTAAACTTATATATTGTTATCTTAGACTATAGGTCATGTTAGTAAAAAAAATAAAAATAAACGCATTGTTTGCCTATATCTTTATAACCGCATACACCGATGTGTAGTATATTATGATCCACTATAATATGTACATTTTATGATCGTAGTCTTTAATACTAGTACACGGAAAAAAATACATAGTTGGTCCAGCTTAAATTTTGGTTAATATAGGGACACAATAAATTTTTATTTGGAATAACTAAATAAATAGTTGGCCCAACTAAATTTTTAGTCGAAGCAACTATACATTTAGTTCGGCCAACTAGAAATTTGGTGTGTCCCTATATTAACCATAATTTTAGAAGGACTAACTATGTATTCTTTTCCGCGTATATAAGGTATTACTCTGCAATTTCCAGAAATATAATATAATACGGACAAGTACCGACTATACGGATAACAATGATGTAATTTGACTTTTGCATTTTTTGTTTTACATCAAGGGTAGTCCAGAGAAACTTTTAAAAGTTCCTGTATAAATAATATTTTAAAACTTCTATATGTTATGTACTTTCATTATAAAAGTTCTTAAAGGATTTGCAAAAAAAAAAAATCTGCTGTAACTTTTTTTATTCTGTAATTCATTTTCTTTACTAATAATTTTATGGGGAAACTCTCTTAAAATTAGTATATATTTGATGTGCAATATGCATACAGGAGATTAAGGTACAAAAATAAAAATCTGAAAAAATTCAAGAAATATTTTTTTAGTATTTGGAGCCGAATGACGGCCATCCAATGCCATGTCAAATTAAAGAACCACCCTAATATATATTATAAGTATATTTGTACATACAAATAGCAATTTACCAAAATTGTACTATGTTAGGGTAAATTATTTAAACAATTTATCAATTTAATTTTATAGACTGTAGGAAACGTTGGAATCGTTATCATGATAATTGACTGGGTGTTGTAAATCCGTGTACGGTTAATGATTGGCTTCTTTTAAACTCTTCAAAAATAGTTATCCGAAACTGGTTATTGTACCAGTCAAAATGTGATCAAATATATACGTTACCATTTAATTTTCAAAAGTTACTATCAAAAATTTAAGTTGGGAGGGGGGTAAAAACAAAAAAAATTGTGAAAAATTGAGATAACATTATGAAAAAAAAATCAATTATTAATTAAACCCAGTGAGATATTGACTGGTTCATGATTAAAGAATCACTCTGTATAGTAATTGAAACAAGCAGAATATACTTATTGTGATATTTCAAAATTTGTAAGTAACCATTTCAATTTTATCTATTCTTTGGTAAGGTTATATGATAGAGAATCCTAGAAAATAATATCATAAATAAGTTAACAAAAAGTACAAAACAACTTTGTCAATTTTGTATTATACAAAAACGATTCTGGAGGTTCGCAGTAAAATTGATCTATAATAAAAATAATGATTATTTGGATAAAAATCAATTGCTCAATAATACTATTAGTATAATTATATTATTGGATGGATGTATTGACTGTCCAGAATCACTTGCAAAATAGGTCTCAAGGTATCTGATTTCAATAGCAGACTCAATACATCCTGTTCCACCGCCAAAAGTATAGTTCTAATAATCCAATAAATTGCATCTTAACAAATAGTACAACATTTTCTATGTTGAATTTGTTTAATTGGTTTTTAGTCGATGTACGTAATAATAATTATGTATTCAGGTGAATTTATACTGTTTGTTATTATTGTAATTTTCTGCTTACAGTATGTAAAATTGTTGTCTGTACTTATGCTCCAAAGGGGCGTCTTAATAAATAGATAAAATAACGTTATTGTTGCCTACATAACTGAACCACTTACATATTATTTACACTAAATTAGATTAAGTCAGGTTAAGTTAGGTAAATGAAAGAGGTCGAATACGTAGATTTTTTTATCCTATAATGTGGTCCGGAAAAGCGGGATAGACTTTAAAAACGGCGTCAAAATCGGTTCAGCTGTTTTAGCATGATTGCTTGACACAACAAGTATAGTAGTAAACGGCAGTATTGTTATGTTTATTCAATAGCTTAAATAAATTACTAAAATGTCTAAGCCACTGCAGAACTCAACATTTGTTTTGAACAATAATGAACATTTTTGTTTTGGTATAATATGAAGTGT